CGCCGCCGCCGCCCCTGCGGAGCCCTCGGCGCCGCTGTCCCCCGTGCCGGCCCCGGCCCCCCCCGGCCCCCTCCCGCGCAGCGCGGCCGACGGGGCTCCAGTGGGGGGGCAGGGGGGGCCGGGGCGCCGCGAGGAGCCCCGGGGCGCCCAGCTCCCGGCCGCGAGCGGCCACGGCCGGGGCGCGGGGATGGACGGCCCCGGGGCCAGCGCCGTGATCGTGCGCGTCGGCATCCCGGACCTTCAGCAGACGGTGAGCCTCGCCGCCCGGATCCCGGCGCCACCCCCGCCCTCCTCTCCCAGCCCCCCACCCGCGCTCTCGGAGCCCTGCGCAGGAGACCCCAGGCCCGCCGCTACTCACCCCTCCCCCACCACCTCCGCCGGGACCCTCCCCACCTCCAGGGCGGGGGCGGGGCCCGGGGAAGCACCGCCCTCGGGGCGAGGCCTAGCCGGCGGGGCGCGGAGGCTCGGGGTCCGCGGCCTGGGCGCGCGGGGCCCGGGGACTCAGTACTCAGCGCCGCGCGGGGCCGATCGGCGCTCACGCTCCCGCTCCGCCGCAGAAGTGCCTGCGCCTGGACCCGGCCGCGCCGGTGTGGGCAGCCAAGCAGCGCGTGCTCTGCGCCCTCAACCACAGCCTCCAGGACGCGCTCAACTACGGGCTCTTTCAGCCGCCCTCCCGGGGCCGCGCGGGCAAGTTCCTGGACGAGGAGCGGCTCCTGCAGGAATACCCGCCCAACCTGGACACGCCCCTGCCCTACCTGGAGGTGAGCGGCGGCCGGGGGCGCGGCAGGGGGCGGGCTGAGAGCTCCGAGCTCCGGGACTGGAGCGGCGGAGGGCGCGGCAGCGAGGGGCACGGACGCGGCGAGTTAGTGTGGAAGCGGCGGGCGGGGGCTTGAGTTGTGTGTCTGGCGCGTGAGGTGTGAGCTGCGTGCCGTGCGTGCGGTCAGCAGCACGTGCGATGGGGTGTGAGCAGGCGTGAGTGCCCGGAGCGCTGTGTGGAGTAAGCCAGCCGTGGTCTGTGTGCATGTCGGTGTCAGCGTCTCCCCCTCCCCGCCCGTGAAGTTGTCCGAAGGGCGACCTAAGCTTCCTCGTTTGCTCACCCGTCCACGGTGTAAAGGCTGTTGAGCGCCCTGTGAGCAAGGGGACCCAGACCCACGGTTTGGAGGTGGCGGTGGCAAGTGCAATGAGCACTGAAGCCAAGAATTACGGTGGCAGAGCTCAGAGCCGGCTTGGCCTCTGTGGTGGCCCCGGCAAGTAGGGACAGTTCTTCCCAGAGACGGGATGTCTCGGAAGGTCAGCCTGGAACCTGGTCTTGGAAGAGGACTGAGGTTTCCAGGGAATCCCGGGGATGGGAATGAGACAGAAAGGGCACTGCAGGCGGACAGCTGGGCGTACATCACGCCTGACCTCTGTGTTTGTGGTGTCCATGGTAGTGTGCATGGCTTTGTGTGGCCGGCCGGCAGGGGTTTTGTGACGGGGTGGGGGGGTGGTGGTGGTGAGCAGCGTGGGGCTCTAGCTGCACAGAAGTGGGCAGGACTCGGTTCTGTGCATACTTTCACTCACTCAGCCCAGGTGGATGCCTTTTTCTGCCTTGTCTTTACCTGAGCAGTTTCGATACAAGCGGCGAGTTTATGCCCAGAACCTTATTGATGATAAGCAGTTTGCAAAGCTTCACACAAAGGTAAGGAGGCAGCCACAGGGAGTGGACTCCAAGGTCACCTTCTACACCCCCTCCGACCGCCCCCCCCCATGACCAGTGTTCACCCACCCCAGCCTTAACTGGGTTTTGTGGTGTCAAAAATGTTGTTTAAAAATTCCCTTCTTGAGGCCCTCCCCCTGTTCCCAGAACCCCCCACCCAATCTTGGTTGGGGTGAACAGTCAGTCCTGCCAGCCTTGGCTCAGTCTGCTTTCTCTTGTTGTCAGGGGCCCAGAGTGGGTGTTGGGGACGGCTAGAGGGCTGGGTGCAGACTCGGGGCACCATGACTTTGGGGTGGTCGGTCTGGTGATGGGTTCTAGTCAGATCAGACTCTGGCTGACCCCTCTGGTGGGCCCCTGGCTAAGGGGTGGAGTGCGATAGGGGACAGTGTCTTTGTGGGGGAGAAGTGAGCAGGCACCAGATGTGGTTGTTGTGGGGAGCTGGGTAGGGGTGGGGAGAACAGGGAGCCCAGCACTTAGTGGTCATCCAGTGCTGGGCACTTTAGACATCTCATTAATTTTCTTCTGTGAGGGACTATTATCCCGTTTCACAGATGAAGATACTGAGTCCCAGGGAAGTTAAGTGACTTACTTACAGAGTGCATCCAGTGATGCTGGGGCTGAACCTAGATCTCTCTGACTCTGGGGCCCTGCCCCTAGGCATACTTGTGGAGTCTTTACTCCTCGATACTGTTGCTAGGAGGGTCTGACCCCAAGTGCTCTTTGGGGGGCACCTCCCTGTCTTCTCTGAACGTAGGAGGGGCAGGGTGGGTGCCGCGGCCCTCCCCACAGTCAGACTCCCTGAGCTCCCACCCCAGGCTCCCCTGGGCCAATGGACATTTGCTTGCTGGACACTTCATTGACAGTGTCTGGAGCCTAAGAGAGGGATCTGAACATTCACCCCTGTGGCCCAGTGACTGCGCTGTGATCCTGGAGCCTCCGTGCCAGACTTCTCTGCTACCCCGGGGCATGTGGTGGTCAGTAGCCATGACTCTGTGGCTGGGCAGAGACTCCCTCACTGGCCCCGGTGTGACCTATCACCCTGGGTTCCTCCTGTAGTTGCCCCTCCTCCAAAACTGTCCCCAGCGACCCACAGGACACCAGTGACTCCTGACCTTCAGTGAGTCCCACTGGTTTTTTTTTTTTTTTTTTTTGCGGTACGCGGGCCTCTCACTGTTGTGGCCTACTCCCGCTGCGGAGCACAGGCTCCGGACGCACAGGCCCAGCGGCCATGGCTCACGGGCCCAGCTGCTCGGCGGCATGGGGGATCCTCCCCGACTGGGGCACGAACCCGTGTCCCCTGCAACGGCAGGCGGACTTTCAACCACTGCGCCACCAGGGAAGCCCCCACTCGTTTTTAGGATGCATTTCAACTCCTTACCACAGTCCCGTGTTTCTGCCTGCCTGGGCTCCAGCTGGCCCCCACCATCACACTGCCCCCCTCCCTCCCTGCCGGCTACAGCTGAGGTCTTTCCTCTCAGCCATGAGCATCATTCCTCCTTTCTCATTGCCTGACCCCCCTGGAGGATGCTACCTCCCGTGGAGCTGTCCCTATGGCACCCTGTCTTATTTCTGATGCACTTCGTTTCTGGAGGGCCCGGGGCCTCTGGCCAGGGCACCTTGCCTTGTGCACGTGGCACTGTAGCACCAGCAGGAGCTCAGTGAGGCTTTGCTGAGTAAATTAGCGCACGACTGGGGGTATGAATGAAAGGCAGTCAAGGTCACGTGACAGGAGCGGACACCTGGTGATGGGGGAGGGCCCCGGAGTTGGCAGCCTGCCTGGGGTGAGCTTGTGAAGAAAATGGGCTGGATAAGGAACAGGCTACCTTGAGAGTGATGGGGATGTGGGCTGCCCTGGGCTGGCTCCTGCCCACGTGGCCTTGGGCTCTTCCAGGTTTGACAGGTTGGGGCACCAGGGGCCAGGGAGAGAAGCCAGGGCAGGGGCTGAGGTTGGGGTAGGGAACTCACTCAGGGGGCATGAGCGAGGGCCGCCTGGCCTTGTCGAGGGGCTGGCTGGGCTCAGGCTGACAGCTGTGTTGGGCTCGGGATGCAGGGGAGGACTTGGAGCAGGGCGTGGGTCCAGCTGAGCTGGGATCAGGGCCACAGCCGGAGTGCAGGGCTTAGGGTGACACGAGAGGAGTGACAAGGTCACGATGTAGGCTGTTAGGTCAGACTGAGGGCGGGGTGGGGTGGTGGATGCCCCGTAGGTAGTCTGAGGCTCCCTGGTGGAAGGTGGGTGGTGGTCAGATGACGGTGGCCGCGGCGCGGGCTGACCAGGGCGGCCGGGCATTCCAGGCGAACCTGAAGAAATTTCTGGAATACGTCCAGCTGCACAACACAGAGAAGGTGGCGCGCCTGCTGGACAAGGGGCTGGACCCCAACTTCCACGATCCTGACTCAGGAGGTGAGAAGCAGAGCAGGAAGGGGCATGGCCTGGGAATGGCCAGGGCTATAACCTCCATCTGCCCCTTGAACCCAGAGTGTCCTCTGAGCCTTGCGGCCCAGCTAGACGACGCCACGGACCTGCTGAAGGTGCTGAGGAACGGCGGTGCTCACCTGGACTTCCGCACCCGCGACGGGCTCACCGCTGTGCACTGTGCCACGCGCCAGCGGAATGCGGCGGCCTTGACGGTCAGTGCGGGCACAGCCCTGGCCTGGAGGGGCGTGCGGCCCAGTAGTGGGAGGAGGCTGAGCTGGCATGGATACTGAGGTTCTCGCTCTCAGACCCTGCTGGACCTGGGCGCGTCCCCCGACTACAAGGACAGCCGCGGCCTGACGCCCTTGTACCACAGCGCCCTGGGGGGGGGAGACGCCCTCTGCTGTGAGCTCCTTCTGCACGACCACGCTCGGCTGGGGACCACCGACGAGAACGGCTGGCAGGAGGCCCACCAGGTGGGTGGGGAGCACGACGGCGGCGCGGTCCCCGGCTCTGTCTCTGGGGTTTGGGGCTTGGGCTCCGTTCAGGGGCCCAGCAGCACCTCTCTGCCCCCCCAGGCCTGCCGCTTTGGGCATGTGCAGCACCTGGAGCACCTGCTGTTCTACGGAGCCAACATGGGGGCTCAGAACGCCTCGGGGAACACAGCCCTGCACATCTGTGCCCTCTACAACCAGGTGTGCCTGCGCCTGTGCACACGTGTGTGTACACACAGGTGATGCTGTACAGTGACTACCTGTGTGTGCACGTCTGACCCTGTGTGTCGCGCCACAAGTGCGTGTTCCGCGTCCTGCAGTGAGCTGTGGCCTTGTAGGCCTACGTGTGTATATCAGTTCCCTGCACACACGTGTCATGTGTGTGTGTTCTGCACAACCAGGTGTGAACTGTGTGCACCTGGGCTCTCTGGGCCAGGTGGGACCTGCACGTGTACACCTGACCTGCTTGTCCCTGTGCTACAAATGTGTGCGCTGAACGTGTAGGCGTGGGTACGTGTGCCCTGCACTCCGGTGTGCGCATGTGCTGTCGCCCAGTTGCAACCCCTACTCCGACCCTCCCACAGGAGAGCTGTGCCCGCGTCCTGCTTTTCCGTGGAGCCAATAAGGATGTCCGCAATTATAACAGCCAGACAGCCTTCCAGGTACACCGATGTCTACAGGAGCATGAGGCTGCCCCAGGGCGTGTTTGTCTGTTTGCATGTGGCTTGGTCTCTCTAGACCTTGCTTTTTTTCCCTGTAGAGTAATAAGGGAGCTCTGACTCCAGGATCGCCCCAGGGTGGGACGGAGGAAGGGGGTGAGCCAGTGCAGTGCCCAGCTTGTGGTGGGGGTGTTCATTGAATGTGGTTCCCTCGGTCCCCCTTCCAGGGAGCGGAGAAGAGGCCCCGGGGCCAAGGGAGAACAGGTGTGGCCTGACCTACCCGAGACAGGTGGGGTGCAGAGGCCGAACCAGGGGCGAGAGGGGTGGTCCCAGATCCCGACTGAACTGCAGTCATGTTTCTGGGCCTTTTCTCTGGCCAGGTTTGGTTCTTAGCACCAGGATGACCCGACGGATGGGTCTCTGTGTGGCCTGGAGTTTATGGGGGGAGTCGGGGACCACGTCATGGGGACTTTGGACACGGAGGGAGCTGGGACCCCACTCTCAGTGGGAGCAAGGGCCTTCATAGGAGACGTGGAAAGAGACCTTCAGAGGAGACGTGGCAGGTGTGGCCACTGATTGTCTAGTCAAGGGGGCAGAGGCAGCAGTGGAGGGCTTTCTGGATGACGAGATGCAGGGGTGGGGGCACGGAGCAGAGAGGGTGACAGGAGTAAGGTAGTGGTGGGCCATGGCTGAGACAGAAAAGATGGTGTGTGGAGGGGCCCTTAAGAGAACAGGCAGAGTGGCCAGCATGTCCCAGCTTTAGCTCCGAGAGTCTCATGTCCCAGGAGACCCCTCAGTCCCATGCAGACTGGGGTGGTGAGTTTAGGCAGGGGACAGGGTCCGAACCTGGGGCCCCCAGCTGAGGAAGACCCCACACAGGGGTCCGAGAAGGCGCCGCCGGGGCCCAGGGGAGGCGCGTTTGGGGCTGCTGAGCCTCCCTCCTGCCCCTCCCCTCCCGCAGGTGGCCATCATAGCAGGGAACTTTGAGCTTGCGGAGGTCATCAAGACTCACAAAGATTCGGATGTTGGTGAGTTCTGCCCACCCAGGTCCCTGCTGAATGTGCATTTGTGGGGGTCGTCAGGGCCCAGCAGTGCAAGGGTCAGTGGGGATGTTACAAGGAAGCCTCCATACCCTGAGCCTTTTCCTCCAGTTCTCCCAGTACAACTGGGAGTGGTCCATTAGTGACCCCTGCAGGTATGGGGAATGTGCTGAGGGAAGGGCCTGTGTAGGGTGGACAAAGGGTCAGGGTCAAGGTCATGGTTAGGTGAAGGCTGTGGATTGGGGTTAGAGTCAGGTCAGGGTCAAGGGTATGGTTATAATGGTTAGGGCTGTGGGTTGGCGCCAGTGCTGGGTTTAGAGATCAACTTAGGTTGAAAGCAGGGTTGAAGTTAGGGTCAAGATTTGTTTTCCTGTTAGGTCTTGTGAAGGGCCAGCAGGGGACACGTGGCAGTGGACCCTCAGTGTTTCACTTCATCCTGGCACATAAAGCAGTTCAAGTGGCCCATAGCGAGCCTCGACACATGTATGCACGCGTAAAGAAATCAAAACACAGTGGTGGGGATGCACGTGGGAAAGGGTGGCAGCGGTCTCGGGGCAAGGGGCTCTGAGCCTTCGGCAGCCAGTGCTTCAGGGGGAGCCCCGTACGTGCCCCAGAAGGAGAACCAGGGGGTGCCCTGTAGTCTGAACCTCAGGGCAGGAGGGCTCACATCGGGCCTGGGTCAGGGGGCACCCACTGCCCTCCAAATCCTGCCACCCCTCCCTGTGTGGGGTGGCTGGGGGGTGGGCCTCTCTTCCTGAAAAGTATATTCTCTGGCCAGGGGCTGCCCCCTCCAGCCCCCTAGCCATAGAGGGACTTCCTGCTCAGCTCCCTCTGTCCTTGGTGGACAAGGCTTTTCTGCCCACGGCTCTCTTTGGAACACAGACTCCCAGGCTCCCCTTTCTGCTGGGACTGCGATATCCCCAATTTTTTTTTTTTTTGCGCTACGCAGGCCTCTCACTGCTGTGGCCTCTCCCGTTGCGGAGCACAGGCTCCGGACGCGCAGGCTCAGCGGCCATGGCTCACGGGCCCAGCCGCTCCCCGGCCTGTGGGATCTTCCCGGACAGGGGCACGAACCCGCGTCCCCTGCATCGGCAGGCGGACTCTCAACCACTGCGCCACCAGGGAAGCCCAATATCCCAATTTTTATAAAATTTAAAGTGACAGTGACCAGCGGAGGGCTAGGGCTGGTCTCAGGTTTTGAGTCCTTGTTGGTTCTAATGTGAGGTTATGGTCAGGCAGGGGTTAAGACGAAGGCCAAGTTCATGTTAAGAAGCCTTCCGATATAGAGTCTTCCCTGAACAGTCCTCCCCACAGTGAGGCTTGGTTAGGAGCCCCTTGTTCCCCAAGCAGGGTCAGCGGACTGACAGTGGGTGGGCTGCAGAATTGGTAGGCATGTGTTGAGCACGTGACTGAGCTGATGATGTGGTGTAGGCTTGGGGCCCAGGTTCTGCTTGGGAGAGAACTGTGATGAAGTTTGAGGTTTGAATTAGGGGTGAGAGACAGAGCAAGGGCTCCAGTTAGGGTCTAGTTGGGGCTGCTGCGTGTTTGGAGGTGTTTGTTAGCCTGGGGGAAGCCTGGTTTGCGGATGTGGGTTCCCTCTTCTGCTTGTGATGTCACCTTGGGAAAGCTTCTTGGGACCTCTGTGCCTCAGTTCCTTTCAGTAAAATATGGTTATTTGCAACCTCTTCCCCCTCTGACCTCACGTGGGATTCGATTCCATGGGTCTGGACTCTGGCAGGTGGCCTTGAGGGTGGGGGCCAGGCCACGCTCCAGGCTGAGAGTCAGGCAGGCCTCAGCTGCCCCTCTTCTTTGGACAGACATGCCAGGGCTCCTGGGGTCACCATTATCATTCTGTCTGCCTGATCCAGAGTGAGCTCACCCGGCTGGGGTTAGACATTTGTCGCTGAGCTGAGAGGTCCATATCAGTTAGTCCCATTGTGGGCATCAGCTCTGCTGGCCATGTACCCTTACCTGCTCAGGTGTCACACGTACGCTCAGAAGACGCAGCCAGGTGTTCATGAGTATTTATGATAAACCCTGTTATTTTAATTCACTGTTTTAACAACCCCCCAATGAGTGATTGTTGTTAGTCCATTTTTACAGGGGAGGAAACTGAGGCACAGAAGGGTTAATGGCAAAGGCTGTCTTCAGTCCTGAGCAATCCAGGGATCCATCCTTGTTACCCCACTCCGTCTGCGCACACTCCCTCCATGAGTCAGTTGTCATGTCCCACCCAGCTTGGGGACCAGCTTGGGGACCCGGGTGGGACCTGCACACTGAGGAGGAGCGGCAGGGAGGCTTTGCCCAGTCACCCTTCCTTTTCCTCAGGCACGAAGCCCACCTGGAGGGATCTGGTAGGCTGAGACCTGTCACCCTTCCCGGGACAGGTCACCTGGAAGCCTCTTGGCAGCCTCACCTTCCCCCTCTAGACTGACCAGCTGGAAGCAGGGATCCTACCTGGGAGCAGCCACCTCTGCTTCCTCACCTGTTGCCTTGGGCTACCTCTGGGTCCACAGGCTCTCCCACCCTCTCTTGTGTGTACACTTCCAAGTACACTTCTCTCTGACTTGCTATCCCAGAGTGCTTTTGAAGAGTGCCCTAGGGAGGTGCTTCTCACTTAGAAATGTACATTTGAGTCACCCAGGGATCTAGTTAAATGTAGATTCTGACTCAGAGGGTCTGGGTGGAGCCTGAGGTTCTGCATTTCTAAAAGCTGGAGGTGAGGCCCAAGGCCCACACTTTGCATAACAGGAGTCTAGAATAGGGCTTGGCAAACAATGCCCCTAGGCCAAATCCAGCCCACCGTCAAAATCAGATTCATGTAACATAAAATTAACTATTTTAAATTGAATAATTCAGTGCTATGTAGTACATTCACAACCAACTCTACTGAATTCCAAAACATTTTCATCCTCCCAAATGGAAACAACATATATATTAAGCAACTATTCCACATTCCCCTCTCCCTCAGCCCCTGTCAACTATTAACATACTTTCTGTCTGTCGAGATTTACCTATTCTGGGTATTTCATTTAAGTGGAGTGACCCTTAGTATTTGGCTTCCTTGTTTTCAAGCTTTATCCGTATTGTAGGATGTATCACTGCTTCATTCCTTTTTATGGCTGAATAATATTCCATTGTTTGTATATGTGACATTTTGTTTATCCATTCATCCTTTGATGGACACTTGGGCTGTTTCCACCCTTTGGCTCTTGTGAATATTGCTGCTACGAAGATGTGTGAAATGTATTTGCTTGAATACCTGTTTTCAATTATTTTGGGTGTACACTTAGGAGTGGAATTGCTGGGTCAGATGATAATTCTATATTTAATTTTTTGAGGAACTACCAAATTGTTTTTCACCATTTTACATTCCCCCAGCAATGCATGAGGGTTCTGAATTCTTCAAATCCTCACCAACACTTGTTATTATCTTTAAAAGAATATTTTTTATTAAAAAAATTTTTTTATTATAGCCGTTCTAGTCTAAGTGAGGTGGTATCTCATTGTGCTTTTGATTTGCATTTCCCTAATGGCTGTTGATGCATCTTTCCATGTGCTTGTTGGCTGTTTGTACATCTTTTTTGGAGAAATGTCAGGTTCTTTGCTCATTTTTATTTATTTATTTATTTATTTAGTTAGTTAGTTAGTTTGTTTGTTTTTGCGGTACGCGGGCCTCTCACTGTTGTGGCCTCTCCCGTTGCGGAGCACAGGCTCCGGACGCACAGGCTCAGCGGCCATGGCTCCCGGGCCCAGCCGCTCCGCGGCATGTGGGATCTTCCCGGACCGGGGCACGAACCCGTGTCCCCTGCTTCAGCAGGCGGACTCTCAACTGCTGCGCCACCAGGGAAGCCCTATTTATTTTAAAAAATATTTATGTATTTATTTTGGCTTTGCCAGGTCTTAGTTGCGGCATGCGGGATCTTTTAGGTGCGGCATGAGGGCTTCTTAGTTGCGGCATGCATGTGGGACCTAGTTCCCCTACCAGGGATAGAACCCGGGCCCCCTGCATTGGGATCACGGAGTCTTACCCACTGAGCCACCAGGGAAGTCCCTTTGCTCATTTAAAAATTGCTCATAGAATAAGTTAGGAAGTGTTCCTACCTCTTCCATTTTTTGGGAAGAATTTGAGAAGGATTTTGCTAACTCTTCTTTAAATGTTTGGTGGAATTCATTAGCGATGCCATTTCATGCTGGATTTTTCTTTGTTGGGAGATTTGTGATTACTGATCCAATCTCCTTGCTTTTTATGGGTCTGTTTAGATTTTCTATTTCTTCTTGAGTCAGTTTTGGTAATTTATGTTTTTCTAGAATTTGTCCATCTAGTTTATCTACTTTGTTGACATACAATTATTCATTGTATTCTCTTATGTTTCTTTTTACTTGTATAAGGTTGGCAGTAATACCCCAATTTTCATTTCTGATTTCAGTTATTTGTGTCCCCCTTCTCTTTTTTTTCTTAGTCAGTCTAGCTAAAGGTTTGTCAATTTTGTTGATATTTTCAAAGAAACAACTTTTGGTGTCATTGATTCTCTCTGTATTTCTATTCTCTATTTTGTTTATCTCATGTAAGCTTTATTAGTTCCTTCCTCTGCTAGCTTTGGGTTTGGTTTGCTTCTCTTTTTCTAGTTCCTTAAATAGGTTATTGATTTGAGACCTTTATCCCTTTTTAATGTAGGTGCTTACAGCTATAAATTTCCCTTTTAGTACTGCTTTTACTGCATCCCGTAAGTTTTGGTATGTTGTATTTTTGTTTTTCTTTTCTCAAAGTGTTTTCAATTTTCCTATGATTTCTGTTTTGACACATTGATTGTTTAAGAGTGTTGTTTAATTTTTCACATATTTGGGAATTTTCCAGGTTTTTTTTTCCTGTTCTTAATTTCTAGCTTCATTCCATTGTCATTGCAGAAGATACTTTGTATGATTTCAGTCTTTTTAAATTTATTGACAGTTTTTTGGTGACCTCATTAATGATCTATCCCGGAGAATGTTCCATGTGCACTTGAGAATAATGTGTATTCTGCTCTTGTTCTGTGGAGTGTCCTATATATATATATATCTATATATATATATATATATATATATATCTGTTAGGTCTAATTGGTTCAAGTCTTCTATGTCCTTATTGATCTTGTCTTTAGATGTTCTATTCATTATTGAAGGTGGGGTGTTAAAGTCTTAAATATTATTGTAGAACTGTCTATTTCTCCAAAGATATCAGTGTTTGTTTCATATATTTTGATGCTTTGTTGTATATGTATTAATAATTGTTAATCTATTTGACGAATTGACACTTGTATCAATATATAATGTCCTCTGTCTCTTGTAACACTTTTTATCTTTAAGTCTATTTTGTCTGATATTAATGTAGCTACTTAGCTCTCTTTTGGTTACTATTTACACGAAATACCTTCCATTATCCTTTTATTTTAAGCCTACTTGTGTCTTTGGATCTAAAGTGATTCTTTTGTAAATAGTTCATAGTTGTATCATGTTTTTAAACTCACCAGCTACTATTTAAATAAAGTTTTATTAGAACTCAGCCACACCCATCTGCTTATACATCATTTGAGGCTGTTTTCATGCCGCAGTGGCCGTGCTGAGTCCTTGCAACAGAGACTGTATGGCTTGCAAAGCCTGAAATGGTTACTATCTGATTCGTTACAGATGTTTGCCAACCCCTGGCCTAGAACATCTTTTACAGTTTCTCTGGTTATGGTCAACTGCAAACAGTTCTATACAGTGGTAGTCTGGTGAGATTTGTCACATGTGGCCGGTTTTGCCTCTCTGGAAGCCTGTGAAATAGGCAGTTCCAAGACCTCATCTGGCTGACGGGAAGGGCAGGCTTTTACCCCTGAAGGCAGAGGTAGAGGCAGTTTGGTATGTGTCCCTCCTGGCATCATAGTTTTGGTCATGGGGTGACCAGCTGTCCTGGTTTGCCTGGGACTGAGGCAGTTCCTGGGACATAGGATTCCACTTTTAAAATCTGGAAATACCAGGCAAACCGGGGCAAGTTGGTCACCCTTTCTGGCTGCCCAGAGTCTCACCTGTCCCCCCTCCCCCCTCCCAGTGCCATTCAGGGAAACCCCCAGCTATGCGAAGCGACGGCGGCTGGCCGGCCCTAGCGGCCTTGCCTCTCCTCGGCCCCTGCAGCGCTCGGCCAGTGACATCAACCTGAAGGGTGAGGTGCAGCCAGCAGCTTCTCCGGGACCTTCACTGCGAAGCCTCCCCCACCAGCTGCTGCTCCAGCGGCTGCAGGAAGAGAAAGACCGGGACCGGGATGGTGACCAGCAGAGTGACGGCAGTGGCCCTGCAGCAGGCAGGGGCAGCCAGAGTAAGATCAGGTATGTGGGGGCCGGGACCTGAGCCTGGAGGAGCCAGTGTTACGGGGGCAGGGAGGGGCCTGCTGGTGCCTGGCACCTCTGCAGTGATGAGCTGAGGCTTTGGGTC